CTGCTAAATTCCATTTTTTAAACATTATGGAGAGAAAGCCACCGGTGGAATCGCAACGTCTAGAAATGTTAACTTCTCTGTAAAAGTAAAGCCACTCAGATCTTGTTAAACTGATATCATATACAGGGTGCCTCTTAATGCCCACGTTCATTCCAAAGGACTTATAAAATGAAATCATCAAAAAGTTCCCAGCTGCACAAGTCTTTTGAAACTTTTCTGTTGTAACAGAGTCTGCGTTACACATTACAAAAACACGCAAGGGGGCTTAAAGATAGTTTAACAAAGAGACTAGAAAAGAGAGACTATCCAGGTGGCTTTTTAAGTGTGGAACATAATAAAATGGTGTTTGGCAAGTAGTATAAGATGTAGTAACTAAAAAACAAGAAAGTCCACTTAGAAGCTGAAGTGGGGCTTCGAGTCATAAATAGAAGAAATGTTAAAAATGCAAGAGAAAAACAATAATAGCAGGAGTGCCTAGTAAATGTGAAATGAAGAGAGGAAAAAATCTTACAGATGGGAATAGCAATGGGATGTGTGTTTTGGACCTGTCCTTTCAGGTCCAAAGGCTTTAAGGCTTTGGAGTAGTTACTTTATTTACCAGTGTTGTCTCCAAAAAGGGAAACTGCATATTTAAGACGGAGGGGCTAGGTGCAAGCAACTGATCACCCAGCAGAAGGAAAAGCCAAAAGGCTTACCAGCCATCAGAGAAAGAAGTCAGGAGATTCCTCTCAGGAAAGCAGGAAGCCACAAACTCCATCTGTATAGGGGACCAAGAACCCGAGGGGAATTAGAAAAAGACTCAATGATTGCATCAGAGAATGTCCTAGCAAGATGAGGCACAGGAGCAATACCCTGGTCTCTTCTCCCTCCTGTCTCTATAGCCCACTAGTGTCTGTCTAAATCATTCTCAGAGTGGCAAGTCATCTTCAGGGCTCATTTTTTGCTCAAGGCAGAACAAGATAGAGAAAAGGTGAGCAGAAGACCCAAGAACAAATAGGACCAGGACCATCGCTACTGTCTGCATTAATAGATACTGGCCCTATGGGATAGTAGGGCATGTCCACTAGGAGAAAGACCTGCATCCCACTGGGAGGACCCAGACGCATTGCTGAGCAGTCTCCTTGCTGCAAGCCTCTTCATCCATGCTGACCTCTCTCCACCATCTTGACTGTGTTGCTCTGCTGCAGTACTTAAAAGTACTGTTTCCTTTTGTCCATACACATTTTTAAAGGGCCCACTTGGCTCATAGTCTGGGTGTTTTGCTGTTAACTCATCCACTGGCCTTTGGGCACAGCAAACTTTATAGCAGAAGCAGGTTAAGTGGAAGTCCAGCTGGAGAGCTGTCCATGGCACCAACCAACTAAAGATACTAAGAGATAGGGGCAGGGGGTGGGGGAAGGGGTACCGGGGGAGGGGTGGCATTAAAACATCTGTGAAAATGCCACTAGCTGGGGGGGAAATCAACAACTTGTATTTCTTAAAACTCTTCTGAGAGATCTTATCTGGTTGGACTTTAAATTCACTTTACCCTTTTCTCTTTCTTCTTCTGTTTTGTGCTGACACAGTATCAGGGCTTGAACTGAGGGCTGCAAGCTTTCACTTGGCTTTTTCACTTAAGGGTGGTGTTTTACCATGTGAGCCAACAACTTCAATTCTGGCTTTTTTTTTCAGGTGTTTGAGACATGAAGGTCTCTTGAATTTCTGTCTGGACTTGCTTGGAAATGAGATTCTTAGATCTCAACTTCCTGAGTAACAAGGGTAATAGACATGGGCTACTAGTGCCTCACTATTGTATTTTGTTATTACTTTGTGGTCTACAGATGTTAACATTTTCAGCAGTGACACTGTTTTATGGGCAACTGTTAGAAATCTTATAAGTGGAATTAACAATCATAATTTATATACTATACTACTGAACAAAAGCTCAAAAAGTAGGACCTTCTGTGTTATTACTGTCCAGATCAGATTCAACAATCAAATAGATGTTTTGTTCAAAATGGTAGGCTCAGGTAATGATTAGCCTTTTTTTTTTTTTTTTTTTTTTGAGTCCAGTCGTGAGGCCCTAAACTCTGGGCCTGTGTGCTGTCCCTCAGCTCTTCAGCTCAAGGCTAACGCTCTACCACTTGAGCCACAGCGCCACTTCCGGCTTTTTTCTTTTTGCTTATGTGGTGCTGAGGAATCAAATCCAGGGCCTCATGCATTCAAGGCAAGCGCTCTACCACTGTGCCACCTTCCCAGCCCTGATTAGCCTTTTAATGTGTGTATATGAGATTACAAAGATTAGAACACACATGTATTTTGTAAATCCAAACCCAACAACTTTCTCTAAGCTTAAATTTTGATGTTAAATTCTTACCTATATTGTGAAGAAGAGGCAGAACCTCACCAAAATAAAATGGAAACTGTTTCTTTCTTTTGCCCAACCCATAGAATCCAGGTAGGTCTTTTTTTTTTTGTCAGTCGTGGGGCTTGAACTCTGGGCTTAGGCGCTGTCCTTGTGCTCTTCAGCTCAAGGTGAGCACTCTACTGCTTGAGCCACAGCACCACTTCCAGTTTTCTAGAGGTTTATTGGAGATGAGAGTCTCACGAACTTTCCTGCCTGAGCTGGCTTTGAGCCATGATCCTCAGATCTCAGCTTCCTGAGTAGCTAGGATTACAGGCGTGAGCCACCGGCGCCTGGCCAGGGTGGTCTTTTTTAAAATTATTTTTTATTTTTTTGTGGCATTTCTGGGGCTTGAACTCAGGACATACAGGCTGTTCCTGAACTTTTGTTTGCTGAAGGCTAGCACTGACACTTAAGCCACAACAGTTCCACTTCCAGCTCTTTGGTAGTTAATGGAAGGTAAGAGTTTCACAAACCTTTCTGCCTGGACTGGTTTTGAACTGTAATCCTCAGATCTCAGCCTCTTGAATAATTAGGATTATAGGTGTGAGCCTAGGTCCAGGGTGTTTTAAGATGATCACTATGTCAAGTCAAGGCAAGACATACAACAGCTGAATTAAAAAAAAAATGCAGCCTGCCAAAGTGAAAGCAGACATTGAGCAGTTTGAGTATTGCTTGTGGATGTATATGGCTTCTGATCAGGAGTTCTTTCAGAGTGCTTCTGGTACCAAGTAACAATAAGCCAACAGTGACTTAATCTATCTTAACACTTTTTATTCACCAATTACCAGGGCTCAATATTGGCTTGGTAGCTCAATGGTGTTCCCAATTTAGGATCTTTTTATTTTTCTATTCAATCAGAACTGTAGTTGCCCTATTAACAACCATCAAAACAGAAGTGAGGTATCTTCGGAAGAAGGAAGTCAGGCACAGAGGATTATGCTCCATGTACAAGTGTGTGTTTAGGGACTTGTGCCTTTCTCCTTGATGGGATGAGGAGAGGGAACAGGAGATAAGGAGGGGATGAAGGATGAGCAAATGCAGTGATCAGATTCTATGTATATTATGTAAAAATTAACGTTTAACTTGAGATTGGGTCGAGAGTGGGAAAATGGGAGTAAAATAATGGAAGCATTGTATGTATAACCTGACTTATGGAATTGTAACTTCTTTGTACAACTACTTAGTAACAACATAAAAGAGAAAAAAAGAATAGGAAGGGGAGGGGACCGTAGATGAGAAGATGGGAGAAGGGGGCAGAATATGAAGAATGGAGGGGCATCTTTGCTACTGTAGCTCTTTAAACTGCTATAGTAATAGGACAAGAAGACAAATTCCATGTGTCTAAAGATCTTGAGGACTACCACGAGAAAAATACAAACTTTAATTTTACACATGGCAACATCGATTTCTTCACTTTATAGTCAAAATTTTTTCCTACCAAGGGAAACAGCAGAATAGAAGGGACTGTAATATGAATATAATAAATAGGATATTCAAGTACAAAAACAATTTTAAGCACATACAGATTCTTTATTAAGATAAAAGGTTTTCCATTATATTTATCTCTAAATCCATCCTAGTCCAAAATAAAATAAATAATAAAAATCCATATCTTTAGGAAGATTTTTAACAATATAGCTTCATAAATCTGAGATTACATGTCTGTCGATTTTATATTATTACAATTTAGATACATTCGATTATAATACAACACCAGGAATGTTAGCCTTAAAGGTAACAGAGTTTTCCTACTGGGCAGTATAGTCATGGTAAAAGTTATAGTTCAGTTTCACTTTTTTGTGTCGACAAAGTCTTAATCGGATGTTAGAATGGAAGGCAGAATTCTTTCTTGGTGCTGGATTTTAAATCTTGACAAATGGATTTTCCTCTTCTTTCAAATATTGGCTGGTATTCCATGTAGGAAGCAGGCTCTTAGGAGAAAGTGAGGTACACAGGGCTCTCTCCTGGGGGAGGATAGGGGTGGATGGACAGGGGAGTTCCAAGGGGAGGGGTAGAAAGTACAGAATCCAGGGTCTTTAGCCACAGTTATCAACAAGCCCTTTGTTTGGCCTTACTCAATTTTAATCAACCTCTATAACCACCAAGAAGCATCACCTATAAGCCTATGTATACCACCTCATTTCTCAAATTGCCTTTTGGTATTTAAAAATATTGTTCAGCACTGGTTTTCTATTTTTTTAAATATCCCCAAGGCTTCCACTACCTAAAAAGACTAATTCCATTATTTTACACTGTATCTCCCACAATAAAGAATTGAGACAATTATCTGTGAATGAAGAAAAGGAAAATCGAGGTAAATATCTGAGGCAAAAATATGGGCTGCCTAAATTGTTCAGAGGATATCCTAGAATATGATACATTTCCAATCATTCTTGATACAGGATATCATGCTTTATAAGAAACTTTAGTCAATGAGCCAAGTGCTGGTAGCTCATGCCTGTCATCCTAGGATGCTGAGATTTGAGGACAGAGGTTTGAAGCCAGCTTGGTCAGGAAAGTCCTTGAGACTCTTAACCTCAAAAAAAAAAAAAAAAAAGCTAGAAGTGAGACATCTCAAGTGGTAAAGTGCTAGCCTTGAGCATAAAGGCTCAAGGTCAGTGTCCAGGCCCTGAGTTCAAGCTCTAGGACTGGCCCAAAAAAGAAAAAGAAGACATTTTAGTCAATGTTCAGAGAGTAGAATGTCCCATATCAAACCACACTTCTCTTAAACCAGCCACATGACTTTGAAGTAGCATGAATGATATTGGATAAACCTGCTCCGCAGCTTCCTTTATTTTCTTTTTTAAATGAATGGTTTTTATATAATCAAAAAACTTAAGTAACATTTAGTCTGACTGTCAGGCTATTCTGTTATGAATGTAATATGGAGCTAGTGGAATAGCTTCTTGTGTTCGATGTGTCTGAAGAAAATCCAGTGATAAATGCTACCCAATGTGCAATATATGTATAATGAACGTGTGGCTCTAGCTGTGTGCAAAGGTCAGATATTTACATGGAATGTTGACCTTGACTTATAAAACTACTATTTTATATTATGCATCTTTACATACAATTTATGAATAGCCCCATTTGATAATTAAAAAATATGCCTCTTGGATATCTCATAAATATATAAAATTGCATTATTATTTTAAACATGACATTTAAACTGTTTACAAAGCAACAAAAATCATTTCTTTTGGAGGTCACAGAGCTGTGATTCTCCCCTGGCAAGACTTCATGCATGCAAAGATGGCATGTTTTCTAACAGAACTTGAGGGCATCTGCAGTGTTTTTACTATATGAAGATCAGTAGTAACAAAGGAAAACAAGAGGTTCCATCTAAACACTTACAAAGTAAGTGTTGTTCTTATCCTACTTAACAATGTCAAAGTTATGACAGTGTCTGATATTTTAGTGACAAAGACATTAACATCAGGTAAGTTTTCCCAGTGATTAGGAAAGTAATACAGACAGGGAATTTGATCAAAGTACATTATATGTATCTATTGCTTATCTGGATGAAATTCCCTTGTACAATTTAAAAAGTTCTCTAAAACACATGTTAGTTAAATGACTGTGATCAAGTACAAAACTGGAAAAAATGCCCACGTTTCTTTAACTGTATCACTAATGTATAAAATGCACTTTAAATATTTTAGAATATTTATGATTTACTGAGAAAATCCAAAGTTAGAAAATGAAAAATGAAATAAATAGAAAACCTTCTGATAACTCCAGAAATGTCTTCTGAGTCTCTGTAAGTAAAAAAAAATGTCTTTTGTAATCATTTCTTACCCTAAGACACCACCATGCTTACTAATACCATAAAGGGTTTTATGTTTGTAATAATTTTTAAGTCTATTTTCCAAGCTGGGTATGGTGACATGTGCCTGTAATCCCAGCAACTACAGGGGCTGAAGCCAAAGATTCAGGAATCTGAGGCCAGTTTGGATAGCATAATGTATTACATTTTCTACCATAGAATTGGTAAGCACTGTAAGACAAAGACTACTTGCTCAAGGTCCATTTTTTAGTTATTCCTTTAGACTGTAAAATGTATGTGTTATGAACATATTGCATATGCAAGGAAACATTTACAATTCTGAAATAGTTTGAGGACATTGTCTCATTACCAGCCTCATTAGATTTAAAAGGATTCACTTGGAAATAACAAAGGGACTTATCTGTCTGGAGCCATTCAAGGTGCTCAATTATTACCTTCAAGGGCAATGTGCCAAGTGAAGGTCACCACATCTGGCTCACTGAAGGATGGCACTCCTTCCCGTCTATACTATGTCTAGGGATGTGTTTGAAAAATTCAATCTTACACTGCAGATTGAGTTATACTAAAGACATTAGAAGGTTCAGAGTTTTTCTAAGAATATAGAATTGTGAAAATGTGGACTTATAGATCTTATAGTCACACACTGTGTTTTAAATAAGGAAGAAAAAAAGATATACAACTAGTACTCAACTTTACCAAGATTGTATACAATGCCAGTGATGCAGATTTTAAAAAGAACAACAATAAAACTCTGCCACTAAAATGGTAACTGATTGGATCATGCATCTTACAAAGATAATTGTGGAAATTTCCCTTAGTTATGAATGCAACCAGCTCACTGGCACCCAATGGGTATCAGTCTCTAATTTGTCAAAAGTTGTTTTTAGCTCATTAAATGCCACCGTGAGATCATCATTTACTATAACTTTGTCAAAAAGATGGCCATATTGACTTTCCATTATCTGTGCAGATTTAATCATTTCTTGGAAGTCTTCTTCCTACAAAAGATTAAAAAAATTCATTAACTAGGCAATTAAGTCAGCTCACATCAATGAAAACATCCCGCCCTGGGTTTATCTACAGCTGCTGTGGGTTTACCTACAGCTGTTGTGGGTTCAGAGTTGCATCTTTTGTCAGGAATAAAAATCCCCTTCTTTAACCATGACTCGTTTACAAGATCACTGTGTGTGTGTGTGTGTGTGTGTGTGTGTGTGTGTGTGTGTGTGTGTGTGTGTGTGTGTGTGTGTGTGTGTGTGTGTGTGTGTCTGTGTGTGTGTTGATACTAGGGTTTGAACTCACTGTGTGTGTGTGTGTGTGTGTGTGTGTGTGTGTGTGTGTGTGTGTGTGTGTGTGTGTGTGTGTGTGTGTGTGTGTGTGTGTGTCTGTGTGTGTGTTGATACTAGGGTTTGAACTCAGAGCCTGGGCTCTATCCCTTACCTTTTTCACTTAAGGCTGGCAATCTACCACTTGAGGCACAGCCCCACTTTCAGCTTATTGTGTTTACTTGGAGATAAGAGTCTTATGGGCTTTCCTGCCCATGCTGGCTTCATACCTCAAATGTCAACTCTGAGCCTGCTGGGTAGCTAGAATTCCAGGCATGAGTCACTGGCTTCTGGCTTTGTTTATTTCTGAGCTAAGGTAGAATACATTATCTTAAGAATGGAAATAAAGACCAGGAAGGACAGCTTCTCTTCATACATATCATGACAATACATGGTACAAACACACCACTTCTGGTGTTCAGTCATGGAAAATATAGGTTGAATGTTAGTCTGCTAATTCTATGCCTGAAATCATACTTACTAAATGTGATTGTTGATATTAGCAGACAAAGCAAATTACTGCAAGCTTCATTGAGATTATTCACAATAAACTAACTGATTTTGGTGTTTTAAGCTTTAGAAGTTAAGACTATTGGCTGAACACTGGAGGCTCATGCCTATAATCCTATCTACTCTGGAGGCTGAGAACTGAGGATCATGGCTCACAGGAAAGTCCATGAGCCTCTTACCTTCAATTAACTACCAAAAAGCTGGAAGTGGAGCTGTGGCTCAAGTGGTAGATACTAACTGGAATACAAAAGCTCAGGGACAGTGCCTAGGCCTTGAGTTCAAGCCCCAGGTCCTGCTCACAAAAAATTTTTTTAAAAGAAAAAAAAGGTTATCCTAAGACAGAACTACTCTTTTATATAAATGTTTGGCTTAGGAAAAAACTCTAACATGTACATGTAGATAGAATCTAGCCTGTGTGTACTAGGCCACTGTAGTTTTGAGTCAATTTAATCATTAAGCTCCATACACACACACATAGAAATTACAACTTTTGAAAACATATATGCCTAACAATCATTCTACCACTTAGAGATGTACAGTCTTCGCTGGTCTTGGAAGCTGCTTGCAGCCATTTGGGCTTTTCCACAGTGGGTGTCTCAGTGCATGCGTGGTCTTACGTACCGTAAAGGGCTTTGCAGCTCCTTGGTCGTCTCTGCTTGAAATAATCTTTGCATTTTTCCTAGTCTCTCTCAAACGCTCTATCGACGGAGGTTTTATAAATATTACAAAGGGTTTAAATTCTAGTGTCCGTAAATGTTTCACCGTCTGTAAATAAGAAACATTTTCTCATATTTTTTCCTCACTTTATACATTATTGATTTTTTTAGAATAGAGAATGGCAAATGCTTTAACTTATGAAGAGAAGATAACCAAAATTTCTTTTTTTTTTTGGTGGTGGGGGTCCAGTTGTGGAGCTTGAACTCTGGGCCTGGGTGCTGTCCCTCAGCTCTTCAGCTCAAGGCTAGCGCTCTACCACTCGAGCCACAGCGCCACTTCCGGCTTTTTTCTTTTTGCTTATGTGGTACTGAGGAATGGAACCCAGGGCCTCAGGCATGCAAGGCAAGCGCTCTACCACTGAGCCACCTTCCCAGCCCTGAAATTATTTCTTTTTCTTTCATTCCCACCCCCCAATCTTTGCTTTATCCTGTTGTCACTCTTTTTTATTTTGGTAACTGTGTCTTCTACATGCGTTTATCTGATTTGGGGAAGGGAAGGGGAACAACAAAATGGTGAGACAAAGGACAAAGGGTGAACTAATACAACAGGGATACTCACAAGACACTATGTTGGAAACAAACTTTAAAACTTGGTGGGGAGAGGAAGTGGGGGAAGGGAGGAAAAGTGAGAGAAAGATAAGAGGGAGTATCAATGTTCAATAAGAAATGTACTCATGGGCTGGGAAGGTGGCTCAGTGGTAGAACGCTTGCCTTGCATGCCTGAGGTCCTGGGTTCGATTCCTCGGCACCACATAAGCAAAAAGAAAAAGCTGGAAGTGACGCTGTGGCTCAAGTGGTAGAGTGCTAGCCTTGAGCTGAAGAGCTGAGGGACAGCACCTAGGCCCAGAGTTCAGGCCCCACACTGGACCCCCCCCCAAAAAAGAAATGTACTCATTACACAAGTATTACTGTAACCCCTCTGTACAACACCTTTACAATAAAATTAAATTAAAAAATAAGATAGCAAAATGGGCCTTTATCTTACTGCTATCAATGGCTTTTAAAAAGCATATTTTTATTATCATTAGTTGTACAAAGGAGTTACTATTCAATACATCAGTTTATGAATACAACATCTTGATGTGTATCACCCTCTCATCATTCTTCCCCCATTCCTACCATTCCCAAACCTCCCCCCTTCAATTTTCCTGGTTTCATGTGATACACATTGGATATTGTAACTACATTCTCCCTGCCCCTCTCTTCCTCTATTTACCCCCTCAAGTTCCAGTGTCCCGGTCTTCTTTTATTGGGGGGGGGGGGTTAGTTATGGGGCTTGAACTCAGGGCCTGGGTGGTATCCCTGAGCTTTTTTGCTCATGGCTAGAGTGTAATCACTTTGAGCCACAGCTCCACTTCCGGTTTTCTGATGGTTAATTGGAGATACGAGTCTCATGGACTTTCCAGCCCAGGCTGGCTTTGAACCATGATCCAAAGATCTCAGCCTCTGGAGTAGCTAGGATTACAGGTGTGAGTAACCAGCACCCAGCTGGTTAGACTCGGAGTTAGTTTTTCTAAGGACAGATACACCATTTGAATTTTCGCCTGCATATACCATACTTCAGGTTAATATGTTTTGTACACGTGCGCATGATCCTGTGTTTGTTTGTATATTTATAAATTAGATCTAGCTTCCATATAGGAGAGAAAACATAAGTCCTTTATCTTTCTAGGCCTGGCTTACTTCACTTAACATAATTTAGAAGAGAGAATTCTTTAAAATTATTGTATAATTCAAAGTTAGCAGGTCTTGGGATACATTCCATTTCATTTCATTTTACTTATTTTATAGTACCGGAACTGTACTCAAAGCCTCAAAATTTTTAGGCAAAGGCTTTACCACTTGAGCCATGCCCTCAATCCTTTTGCTTTTAGTTTTGTTTTTTAGATAGGGTTCATTGCTTTTGCCCAGGCTGGCTTCAAAATGAGATTATCTTGTCTCTGTCTCCCCAGTAGCTGGGACCAGAGATGTGCGTCATCATACCTTGTTTGGTTTTGATGCATATTTTTGCTAACTTTGTCTGGGGAAAGTATGATCCTTGTCCGTCTGTCATCCAAGTAGCTGGGATTACAGACATGAGTCACCACACTTGGCTTTATGTATTATTATTCAATCAGTTGTTGACAACTAAAGGCTACAAACACCATAAAAGGAAGCCAGAGAATGTAATTTGCATATATGCACAACATCAACCAGGCATCAGAGCCTGTGATACTAGCTCTAACTTTGACATCTGAGGATCTTGGTTCAAAGCTAGCTCAGGCAGGAAAGTAAATGAGACTCTTATCTCCAATTAGCCACTAAAAAGCTACAAGTAGAGCTGTGGCTCAAGTGGCAGAGGGCTGGCTTTGAGTACAAAAGCTCAGGGACAGCACCTAGGCCCTGAGTTCAAGCCCCAGGACTGGCACAAAAAATAAGTGGGTTTTTTGCCTAACTTTTCCCTCCTTTCCTTCCTTCCTTCCTTCCTTCCTTCCTTCCTTCCTTCCTTCCTTCCTTCCTTCCTTCCTTCCTTCCTTCCTTCCTTCCTTCCTTCCTTCCTTCCTTCTGTCATTAAGTAGTTGTACAGAAGGATTTCAATTCAACAAGTCAGTTTATGAGAACAATGCATCTTGATCGGTGTCACCCTTTTCATCATTCTCTCCATCTCTCACACTTTATACATTATTATTCTTCAAAAAGGGCTGTTTCAAATTATAGTGGAATGACTAGTCTTTAACAGTGCCTTACACTAAAATGCTCACATGAAGCACAGGAGATTACATGCACCTCAAGCGTACTGGTAGCTTCCTTTACTTACATGAGGTTGAACATCCAACAAACAAACTTTGTTTTTAGCGAGGACTGACCGAACTGAGTCTATACTTGTGCCATAGTAGTTGTTTTTATACTCGCCATATTCAATGAACCTGTGGGAAATAAGAGATGTATTAGAATAATTTGTTAAGTTTAAAAAAATGCAGGTGGCAAAGCTGTAATTCATAGGTAAAAGATACTTTTGCTGAACATGTAATTTTTCTACTGTGTTGAATAAAATAAACAGGGCCAAGTACTTCAGCAAATGTCAATTTTAAAAAATCTTCTACATTTTCAAATCAGTAACACTTGCTTGTGTTACACTTAAGCAGGAAAAAAAAAAAAAGTACTTTGGTCCAATAGAGACCTAATGCTTTCCATCACCCCCTCTTCCAGAACTAATGCAATGCAATAAAACAGTGAATAAGGCAAACAATAGAAACTACTGGAATTTCATTGCCTACAGAGTAACCAAGCTGGCCTTCAGAACTCCAGGAGCTGGGTGGTGGCTAATGGAACCAGGGCAGCGATTATGTGCTATAAAAACACAATCATTGCACCAAAAGTGTAGAAAGTATTTTGATGTTTCAATAAAAATCCCACAATCCTACATTCAAATACGCATTGCTTTCTGATATCCTAAAATAGTCATGCTTAAGCAAATGAAAACCCTGGGCATGTGATAGGGAGGGGGAAATCAGAGCTAGCTAGAGGGGGTGCTACATGTAAAGCTTTATTTCAAGCGTTTGAAGTGCCTGTGAGTTGAAGGCATGTATGAAAGAGATGGTGGAACTGGCAACACACTACATAGTTACCCACTGGTTTTTAAAAATAAAACTGTACCCAAGTTAACATGTTGAGATTCAATTAGCGGGTTGGAAAGAGGACAAGGTACAATACGAGCAACCTTTTCGCATGCTGAAAAATAATCCTTACCCATTGAAGTTAGCAGAAAACCATCTAAATTATGCAAAAATTAGAGGTGACGCTTGGGAACAATTATGATGATCACTATTTATGGGTTGCAAAGATTATGACCAATTAAAATGCACTTCAAATGGTGGAGGGGTACTATGTAAACTCTGTAAAGGTTGACATGCTGAAAAAAACAACACGGTCAGATAAAAATTCGACAGAGTTTCCACATACTTGTTATTTTGCACGTCTGTTTCAAACAAATGCTTGGAAATGAAAATATATTCAACGCCATCGCTCTCCTGGCTTCGTTTTGCTCTGGTGGTATCTGTGATTTGATTGGGAAAAAGCAAAAAAAGGTTAGAAAAGATATCATCAAAATTCCCAAAAGAAAAAAAAAACCTTAAAAATAAATCATTAGATGTATTTAAAACCATTTTCTTCCATAGGATTTCAAAACATATAAAAAGCACATTAGCGAACAAAATTATGGAAAGCGTTATCAACTCAGATTTTCCAATAAAGTAAAAATTTAAAGATGGACTAAAAATTCAACTGCATTGTGTGTCTGTGTTATTCATTATAATGAAAACTTTCTAATATGATAAATAAATACATAAATAAAAGTGGCATTTAATCCTTTCAGGAAAATGCTTTCTTTCCCAAACATTGTGCTTACTATCTTTAGTTTCTGGTCTTCCACTGAAATAGGTAGGCTTCTTGTCTACTGGGTTGCAAGGTAAACTCAGAAATTACTTTATTACCATCCACAGGAGTATGTATCAAAGTTCTGTTTTACCAGCTGACTGAAGTCAAATATTTCTATGTACTTAGTCACCACTCCTTTGTAAAGCTGTAAACTGTGTCTTCTTGAACTACCACTGAACTTCTCATCATCCAATAATTGTGTCTAATTGTTTCTAATGAATTATATAGAAGCAAAAGAAGCCAGATTCATTATAAACAACATCATAAAGTTTTCCAGTATTGCTATGGTGACTGGAAGCCCACTACAGCCCATCCTTCCTCCATCCCAACTAAAACCTCTTCAAAAATACATCAAACTGATAGACTGCAGAGGGGTGTTAAACTGTATGGGGAAGAGCTTGACTTCATTTTTTTCTTAGAATCTCTGATACTTTGCTGAAAAGAGATGGGGGTGAGGGTTGGGAAAAAGGGACATAGCCCTTATGGGTTGAAGAATATGGAGGAAATCTAAATAGGGAGAAAGCAGAGAAGGAAATATTTTAATTCTATGTATGAATGAACATTAGTTTGTTCTGCCTCTCTTAGACATGCAGCTCTGATTCAAACCAACATTGCTGGTTTCATGAAAATGAGCTGTAATTAGCATATACAACTCTTAGCCTAACTCCTGAATGATGGCAACTTTTTTGTACTCAAACCCGAAGAAGAAAGAAAATAGAGCCTTGAACCTATACACAAGTCTCAGACCAACCCTTGAGCCAGGGCAGACCCACACCAACACAGGACAGGTAAATGAGATAGAACTGAGGAACTAAATAGAAAATAGCATAGTTGATTGCCAACATCTAAAAATGCAATTTGAAATTATACAAAACAAGGGAAAAGAAAGATGCAAACCCTAAATGCCCTGGGAGCTGAAATTAACACAGATATGAACAAAATTTCCTAACTCTGCTTTATAAGGTAAAGGAAAACACACCAAAACAGTAGTCATAAATTCTTAGCAGAGAAATACAGACTGTAAAAGAAGGATCAAGTGGAACCAAAAAATCTGATCAAGACCAATCACTACACAAGGTCACAGCAGAATAGAGGATGGAGCTAAGCGCCAGTGAAACTAAAAACATAATAAAAATGACATAATCTGAATTATAAAGATAATAATAAACATAGATATACAAAATTCACTAGCACACTATGCTAAAAAACAGATAAAGGGTGTTTTATAGGCTGAAGAGAAATGAGAAGAAAAAACTTGAATATTCAAGGAATGGAGGAAGACTAGATAGTTGAATATAAAAGACTATATTTTTTCCTTTTAAATACATTAAAATAAATATGACTGTGTTAAAGTAAAATTGCATTGGAATAGTTTCTAAAGTATGTAAATACAGTACATTCAAAGTAAAGATTAAGGGAGAAAGTAAAAAAGGGATTCATACTGCTACAAGCTTCCTACCTATGTGAAGATATTGAAGTATGTAGCATATATGTAATTGAGGTGCTAGAAGGAGGGAAGAGAGACTGGGGAAAAATATGATTTAAGGAAATAAGAACTATGGATGTATAAAATGTGGTAAAAGGGCCCTGTGCCAGAGGCTCATGCCTATAATCCTAGTTACTCACGAGGCTGTGGCTGTGATTTGAGGATGTGATTCAAAGCCAGCTTAGGCAGGAAAGTTTGTGAAACTAATCTTTAATTAACCAGCAAAAAGCCAGAAGTGGAGCTGTAGTTCAAGTGGTAAAGTGCCAGCCTTGAGCAAAAAAGCTCAGGGACAGTGCTCAGGCCCTGAGCTCACGCCCAGGACTGGCAGGTGCATGTGCGTGCTTTTCTCTCTCTCTCTCTCTCTCTCTCTCTCTCTCTCTCTCTCTCTCTCTCTCTCTCTCTCTCACTCTCTCTCTCTCTCTCTGTGTCTCTCACAGACACACACACATTTGATAAAAGGAAACTGAGCAGATAATTAGGACAAATTCAGGGAGGAAAAATCCTAGACATATTAAAACCAATGATTAAAAACTAAATTAAATTAAGAAATCTTAAAAGTGGTTAGAAAGCATACAACGTGCATAAAGGAATACTGACTTAAAATTTCACAGGCTTCATAAATCACAGAAACAAGAAATTGATGTGGTAATATCTTTATAGTACTAAAAGAGAAGACTTATCAACCAAAATATCTTTCAGTAATAAGGTAAAATAAAGACTCTCAGATAAGAAAAAACACAAAATTCACTAGCAGACTATGTTAAAAAAAAAACAGATAAAGGGTGTTTTATAGGCTGAAAAGAAATGAGAAGAAAAAAACTTGTATATTCAAGAAATGCTAGACAGTTGAATAAATATAAAAGACTACATTTTTCCTTTTAAATACATTAAAATAAATATGACTGTTTTAAAGTAAAATTATATTGGAATAGTTTCTAAAGTATGCAAATATATTACATTCAAAGCAAAGATTAAGGCAGAAAGTAAAAAGGGATTAATACTGATGGCAAGCTTCCTACAGTTTATGTAAAAATGACACAATTAATTCTAAGTAGATTGTGAATGATTAGGTGTGCATGTTGTAATCCCTAAAGTGAGAGATAAGAAATTAAAAGATATAAATCAGAGTGAACTGATACATTAAAATGTAATAGTGGAAATCATTCAGCTAATCTGAAAGAAGGCAGAAAAAGAAAGGAAAAGAAAATTAAGCACACAAAGGGAACCAGATCACAAATAATAAAATAGTTGCTTAGATTCAGTCATGTCTGTAATTTTGTAAGTGCTTATGGAAATACCAAAATTACAAGGCAGTTTATTTGTTTATATAAATTTATTTAGGTAGTTTTGGGATTTGAGCTCAGGATCTTGAGTTTGGCCAAGCTGTTCACTACCGTTGACCCTCACCTCTAGCCTTGGTGTAAAAGGGTATAATCTCCTTGGAGAACCATCTGTTAGTGTCATTAACAATTAAACCTATGACCTAGCCATCCCACTTATTTGCCTAAGAAAAGCAAACATGTCCATAGAAAGTTTGGTACACAAATTCATCTTAATTACTTTACCAACAATGAGGGTCATGGAGGAACCTATAAATATCCATGAACAAATAAACAAATTGTAGTATTTCTAGACCAAGAAAGCAACTAATGAACTACTGACCTATGAAACAGCATGGGGAATCTCAGACCCGTGCTACACAGTACAAAACTGCACATGGAGTACAACAGTTAGTTACATGATGTATAATCCAATATAAAGTACTGGTGATTCCAACCCAAAGGAATTAGTATAATAATCTGGGGTCACTGACAGAGGGCTAGACTGCAGAGGCATAGATAATTTGGGGGGAGATAGAATTGTTTGTTATGCTGTCTCAGATGAAGGTTTTACATGTGCATACATGTATTCAAACAGATCTAGCAGTATATTTCAAATATGTGCAGTTTGTTTATCTCAATTATATTTTAATAATATCATAAACATGTGAAGTGGAAAAAAGTAACCTAGTACAAAAAGAATGATTTTTTCCAAAGCCTAAATAATTGAAATTATACCCTAAAATTGAGTTCTTTTTTATTGAATTACCAAGCATATTTTATTAGCATAATGATCAAGCTCTCCTGAATTATCAAGCATATTTTATTTGCATGATGCTCAGCTCTCCTAACAGTTCTTCAAAATTGTTCCACTTGTGGCTCCCTGAGAGACAGAATATAGCCTTTCCAGGAACAGGGTGAAATACTGATAAAAATTTTTTATTCTATTATAAAAAGTAAGAATAAAATTCACAGCAGAAAAATGCTCTTTTGAGCCTATTGTATAATACATATCCAAGAACATGACAGTTACTAGAATTAGTAGGATGTCCTTGGAAATATGGCTAAATTCATTCATTAATTATGTTTATTTGTGGGGTTTGGCATTATTGCTTTAGCAAAGAATAGGCTTAAGAAAAAAAAAGTTATTGGAAATTCAAACAGAATATTCTGGGTATTACTTTGTCAAGAAAGAAGAAAAGATTGTCTTTCTCCAACTGGAATAGCAGAAGCTGGTTAAGACAGTTTAAGGATCATCACCCTCAACACATAAAGTCTCCCTCAAGGATTAAACATATCAACTGGTGTTTGGAGCAAGACTATTCTGACACCACTGAAAAAGGAGTATGTTTACTGCCACAGTGCTTGCATGTATTAGGATGAACCTGATTTAGCCAGGTTTGATATGAGTTCATTGATGAAGTGTGTTAAGGACTAATTTGAACCTCATAAACTCACTAAGGAGATATTGTTAGTAAGATCATCTGAATTCCTTTGAGAAGATTATAAGGGTTATTATGAGTTTTGTTGTTGTTGTAGTTTATAGTGTTTGGTCTGCAAAGAATAATCGTGTATGTTAACAAGTACTCTACCACTGAACTGTATCCTTAGTCCAAGGGCTCTATTATGACTTTGAAAATTCCCTTCTAGAATGTGGACACTTTGAAACCTGAGATAACAATTTGATATAGACCTGCATAAGGAACACAGGAAGTGATTCCCAGAGGAGAGTAGTTCCCCAAGTCCAGCCTACACAGACTTTGCAATCTACCAAATATTTGATATCTACTAAATAGTACCTTTTGCGAACTGCTTTTCAGCCAAACAAAAGCCCAAGAATAATCACATTTACCTGATCTGGCATTTTTAAACATATTGCCTTTTGCTTCAGAATGATTTTTTGCATTATGGACCTCACACTCAATAGAAGTCCCATATAGACAGACTTCTGGTGATGTTGTAGTTAACTGACTTTATGTAAATTCAAGTTGTGAAACTGCTTCCTGACACATTTCTTGGGACTTAACATTTTGGAGTTACGTGATACTGCTTTTTGGAGAAACATGAAATTGTTATAAATTCAAAGTAGTTACAAACACAGTACTGAAGTGTCATTTCTTTTTTTTTTTGGGGGGGGGGGTCCGGTTGTGGGGCCTGAACTCTGGGCCTGGGCGCTGTCCCTCAGCTCTTCAGCTCAAGGCTAACGCTCTACCACTTGAGCCACAACACCACTTCCGGCTTTTTTCTTTTTGCTTATGTGGTGCTGAGGAATCGAACCCAGGGCCTCAGGCATGCAAGGCAAGCACTCTACCACTGAGCCACCTTCCCAGTCCCTGAAGTGTCATTTCTTGACTTCCTTGGGGAAGAGGTAGATAACTATGACACTTTATCTAAACAAAAAAATAACTGACATCAGCAAATTACCTGGAACTAAATAAATATTTCTTTTTAATATGAAAAATCCTGAGTATGGCCAGGGCATTTGCACTTGTAATCCTAGTGAGGCAGGAGGCTGAGATCTGAAGCTTGCAGTTCAAAGCAAGCCTTGGGAAGGTAATTCTTGTCCCCAATGAATCGCTAAAAAATTGGAAGACTCTTATCTCCAATTAACCACCAAAAAAGCTGGAAGCCAGTTGTGACTCAAGTGATAGAACATTAGCCAAGAGCAAAAAAAGCTCAGGTAGTAGTACCTGGATCCTGAGTTCAAGTCTCCCTTCCCAATAAAAAATTCTGAGTATGACACACAGACAGCAAGGTTCACATAGAAGTCAAAATACACATGCAATTATCCTACCGCTTAATGAACTCTCATAGATCAATATGCCCACAGAAGTAGTACTTTGACAAGAACCTATATCACTACCTCAGTTGTCTTTCTCATCCAATTCTTCCACTGTTCTAATAGTGCATACCACTGTTGCTCTTTTATTATGGTTACAACAGATGGAGCTATAACACATACTCTCTTCCCTGCCTGCCTACTTTTTGGTCAATATACTGCCTGTGAGATCCATTGGCATTGTTCTGGCCTCTTGTGGTCCATCTGTTCTCACTCTAGGATTCCATTGTGTAAACATGCCATAGTTACTCATCCATTCAACTGCTGGTAGGCATTTTGGTAGTTTTCAGTTTGTGGTTCTTATAAATAATGTTTTTAAGACTATCAGAATATACCTACTCAAGAGGTTCAATCTGAGGAACCTGATGTGAAGCTAGCTTGAGCAGATAGATAATCTAAAAGACTCTGTCTCTCTCTCTTTTTTTTTTGTCAGCCGTGGGGCTTGAACTCTGGGCCTGGGTGCTGTCTCTGAGCTCTTCAGTACAAGGTGAGGGCTCTATCACTTGAGCCACAGCACGATTTCTGTTTTTCTGGTGGTTAATTTGAGATAATAGTCTTACGGACTCTCCTGCCCAGCTTGGCTTTGAACTACAGTCCTCAGATATCAGCCTCCTGAGTAGCTAGGATTACAGGCATGAGCCACCAGCACCCAACCCAAAAGACTTTTATATCCAATTAATCAAGGAAAAGCTGGAAGGGAGGGCATGGCCCAAGTGGTAAAGCACCAACTGTGAGTAAAAAAGCTAAAGAAAGTGCCCTGTCCCTGAGTTCAAGCCTAGGTCTGGGGGAAAAAAATGTCCTAATACATGTCTTTTGCTGGATGTACAATATGCACTTCTGTTGGGTATAATCTGGGAGCATGGCTGAGTCATGTAATGTGTGTTTACACAGCTTTTGCAAATATGGCTGCTTAGGTTTCCAAAACACTGAGTTAATTTATACTTCCTTCATGAATGTGGAAGGGTTCCACTGCTTGAACTCTCTTCACTCTCCTTACTTTGGTGGATACTCAATGCATGTTTTGGAAAAGAACATTATAGAATTAAACACCATATTTCAGAGTCCATCCTAAGTATTTTACAAGCATGACAATCTAAATTACAAAACTGCTTCTAAACTGTATTCTTTTACTAATTATAAATCATCCTATGTTGAGGCTATTTCCCTATTTCCTAAATAGCTCTAACATTCTGAATTACCTGTGGTGCTTGCTTCTTATAAAAAACAGAATCATTCCGTAAGAATGATTCTTATCAGGCAAATCCAAAAAACATAGTTATTGTAAAATATTTTGGGAAGTGAATCAGAGTGGGAAACAACTGTGTGGAGGACATCTCTGGAGAGTCCAAACCCAAAACCTTCTGAGGCAAAAATTGTAATGGCAAGATAAGCCGAGGTCAAAGTACCTTGTTCTGGAACCTTTAGTACAACTAACGCCATCATGGTGGGTTATGTTTGAGAGATGACCTTTCTCACATTTATCAACCTCAAAAGGGATCAGGTTTAACTGTAGCTTGATAGAATTGTTGGGACTATCCAGGAGAAATAATATGAGAAGTGAGATCATAAAACATGGCTTCACATCTAAGTGCTGCTACTGTCTATGGAACACTAACCGGATCAATGCACCCTTTCTTCCCTGTTTCCTTCTGTGGGGAAGGGAGAAAATATCCTCCATCTTACACTGTTGTTAGGACTGCATAAATTAAGACGAACAAAGAGATGAAGATAGAGTAAGAAATTAATACATTTGTTTTTTCACCTTCTAGATTTCTCCTGTAACTGCTCACCTGCCAGCTTAACAATTGTCTTGTAAAATTTTGTTTGTATGTTACAATTCAACTTCCGTAAGAGAAGGGAATTAAAGTAAAAAAAAAAATTCCTAATTCCACATTTTCCTTTCTTTCATCTCCCTTGGTGAAAACCAACAGTCCTATAACTTATGGCTGAAAATGATTACAAACAATAATTCGGAAAAATGCAGTAAAAGAAAGAACTTGAGGTACTAGAAAACTATAATTTTAAAACAAAGTTGAACTCTTCCAAAGCTAAAGAACATTGCTAAGGGCAATATACAAATGATTTTTCTTTCAAACACTACTAAAACCACTTGAAAAAGCCAACATTTCAATTTAGTCTTTTAGAGAGCTTTCTAACATCAACATATTAAGTAGTCAAATGGCATTTATTCTGGAGATCAAAATGTTTCAAGCATCATATTTCATTTGTAAAAATGACTAGGAAAACCACTTTTATAAAAATAGATCTCATTCGGGGTACAGAAAAGAAGCCTGCCATATTTGGCCTGTATAGTCATTAAAAAAGCCCATTTGACACCACCTGCCAATTACTACATATAAAAGGTAATTAAGAAAGTTCCCATTATGAGACCTCTCCTCCAGCTCTCTATGATTTGGTCCTTCTAATTGAAAAACTGCTGGAAAAAAAAACCCTCTGGAAAACATTAGCACTTATTTTAGGAAACAGAATAGCGAGACCTGTACTCAGACAAAAATTTGTAAATAGCAAGCTGATGTCATCTGTGTATTCATGTTCATCATAAAAATCTGAAACTAGGAATCTGCCATTAATAAATATCCTGCCAATAATCTGTGAGATCCAAGGCAACTCCCTTATCCACTGGTGCCTCAGTTTCCCACTCAGCGTATAGCACAGGTTTGCTTGCAGAGGTGGGGTCTAGAGGGTGAGTGCTAGGAACAGTGTTAGTGCAGTGGAGCACTGTGAATATTTAGGGTCAATCTATGGTGTAGTCATAGAAACAGTGAACAACAGAAAACTCACGGGGCACGGTTACTCCATAATGCTGAGTGTCACTGATGAGCAGCTTCCGCTTCAGTTCATTCAGCCCCACGCCTACAGGGCCTGAAAAACAGGATAATGGAAACTCATTCAAATGAAACACCATCTAAGCAAGATGCAGGGCCGGGGGGGGGGGGGGGGGGGGGGGGAATGTGCTCATTCCTGTAATCCTAACTACTCAGGAGGCTCAGATCTCAGGATTGCAGTTTAAGGCCAGCCCTAGCAGAAAAGTTCATCGGACTCTTCTCTCCAATTAACCAGCAAAATGCCAGAAGTGGAGGTGTGGCTCAAGTGGTAGGGTACCAGCTTTGGGCAAGAAAGCCAAGTGAAAGAGTGAAGCCCTGAGTTCAAGCCAAACCACACCATCTAAGCATTTCTATAACTGCCACAAACCCATTAGTTAGACTGAGAACACAGGCCCAATCTTATATTTAATGTAAAGAGGTTATTTGATAGTTAAGCTGCATATAAGAACCAGTCAGGACTTCTTCCACTGTCCTTTTTTTGTTTGTTTTCACTTCTAAAGTTTACATTCCCACAGAAAAGGTTAGACATGCTTTCAATATGCTTTCAATAATAACTCGAGAATATGTGAGTATATTACTAAGGAATGGTATTTACAAGAGTGTAAAAATATATTAAAAATTATATGCCAGTCAGGCACCAGTAGCTCATGCCAGTAATTCTAGCTACCCATGAGGCCAAGATCTGAAGATGGCAGTTCAAAGCCAGGCCAGGCAGGAAAGTCCATGAGTCTCTTATCTCCAATTAAAAACCCAATACAAAAACCCAGAAATGAATCTGTGGCTCAAATGGTAGAGCAAAAAAGCTCAGGGATAGCTCCTAGCCCCTCCAGCCCCCTGCCCCAGATACTGGTGCCCAAAACACAGAGGTTTCAAATGTGAGCTGAGATCAAAAGTTAGAAGGACTGAGCTCCAAGGAGCTGGCATTCCTTTTCCCAAGCTTCCCACATGTCTGCCTTTAGAGACTGTTAAGGACTATGTAGTGCAGTGGGCACAGTAGTCTAGAGGGCCAGCCTGCTTTGAACTTGGCTCCCTTCTGCTCCCCTCCAGCACTCCCTTCCCAGTGAAACTGCATGAGGCAAAGCTGCAGTGCTTGAGCAGATGTCATTCTGAGTGGCAACGCTCCATTTCTTGGAGGAATGAAAAAGAAATTACACACAGTGCCTGCTGCTGAACTCAGGTACTTGAGTCATACCTGCAATTTACCACCAGCTAAAAGTCAGACTGGAGATGTGTTTCAAGGGGTAGAGCAACAACCTAAAAAATAATCTAAGGATAGCACCTTAGTTCAAGGTCCACCCAGTACACACACACACACACACACACACACACACACACACACACACACACACACACACACACACACACACACACACACACACACACACACACACACACACACACACACACACACACACACCCCTCAGCTGTCCCCCTAGTGCTTGTCCCCCACCACCTTCTGCCTTTCTCATATTGTGGTCAGGCACCATTTCTCCACTAACTTCCCCTGTTCTGCAAATGCTAAGAATCACAGGTAACTGAAGGTCAAGATTATGAAAATGAAGACAGTTATATACTACTGGCTTTGACTTTTAGGAGTAGTGTAAGAAACCTACTCTGAGCTAGGCACCAGTAGGTTCACACCTGCACACCTGTAATCCTAGCTCCTCAGGTTGTGATCTGAGGATTAAGGTTTGAAGCCAGTAGGGCAGAAAAGTCTGTGAGATGCTTATCTCCACTATACTACCAAAAAGCCAGAAGTGGAGCCATGGCACTAGCACTAGTGGTAGAGTGCTAGCCTTGAGTAAAAGCAGCTCAGGGACTGTGCCCAGGCCCTGAGTTCAGGTCACAGAACAAGTACCCAAAAACAAAAACAGAACAACAACAACAAAAAAAAACCTACTAGCCTGGGAGATGGGCCAGTTTCAATGGTACTAAAGATTTTTACCTGAAAACCCTAGCATATTCTTGGCTCCCAAAGATTTAGCCTAATACTGGGACATGCACATCAGAGCTTGGTTCCACTGACAGGTCAAGCATTCTGACATTAAGAACATGGTGCTGGGTTGGGAAGGGGGCTCAGCAAAATAAAACAAAAAACCAACAACAAAACCCATGGTGCCCTCCACCATGCTTCTTACTGTACAACACAGGACTGGGCGTGGCTCAAAACTCTGGCTCTTCCTCTCTGACCTCAGAAGCCTTCACTTCAACCATGACTGGGCACACCTGGGCTTTGCCATCAGTAAGGGCAATACTAAATTCCAACTTCCCAGTGTGACATCACTTCCTGATACTCTTAGAGTTCTCCCAGGTATGATTACATGGACCTCTAGTGCATTGATTTCCTTCCTTTCTTTTTATCCAGCTGCCTTTCAAATCTTCACCTTTTTTGGGCCATTGTATCTTCCACTAGAGTTTGCTAGGAGACCTTCAACTCCTATGATCGTCCTTTCTAGCATACTTGTTAAGAAAGCTTCCTAGGATCACTGCAGTGGCACACCCGTACGTGGATGGCTGATTGCAGAAAACCCTCAAACCTCCACAGTTGGTATTACCACACCTTTAAGTCTCTACATATGACCTAGGTGTGCCACGGCTTTTCTATAGTCCCCTTACCAGTTGTATTTCTGTGGTCCCCACAATGGTAACTTCCATCCTTCTCCATCCCTGTACTGATACACCCAGAAGCCTTCCTGTCACTTCCTCCAGATCTATGATTGTCCATCACTACTACTGCCAGTCTAGCTCAGATCTCACTTCTGGCCCCTTCTCTTAGAATAGGCTCTTCATGGCTGCTCCAATCCACCATCATACTGCTATAGAAGTTCTTTTGAGAACCCAATCAGATCCTGTCACTCCTTGCTCCATATTCTTGGATACGTAGTTTCCAATGGCTCTTCCAAAAAAAGAGATCAACATCTTTATTTGGTGATACACCTGAATTCTGACCCTCAGAGATCTCATCTATTTCTGTAGCCCCAGGGACTTTTGGTTTGGGCCTTCTGTGATAACTGGCGAGCCTAAAGGGAGCTGTGTCAGAGCAGGCTCACACAATTAATACTCATCTGTTCCAAGAATGGGCAGGGGAAACAACGTTATCTGAAAAAGTTCCCCTGGAGTATTCTAGATCACCAACAACTTCAAAGGTAGGGCTGTTGTCATGAAACAAAAGCTTAAAATATGAACATAGTTTTGTTCATTCTGATTAAAACTGTTCACGAGGCATGCAAACAGCATTTTCTCTAATGGGAGCCTTTGGGTTCTTCAATTCTTGGACATCAATTTTTTACTTGGAAAAAATGCAACATAGGGCTAGGCATGGTAATGTGCACGTGTAATCTCATCTAGGTGGGAGGAAGAGATAGAAGCATCATGTTTCAAGGTCAGCAAGAGCAAAAGGTTGTAAGGCCTTTATTGCATGGTGGTTAATCCTGTAATACTGGATACACAGGAGACAGATGTCGGAGGATCATGGATAGAGGAATGCCCAGGACAAAAAAATTAAGATCCTGGGGCTAGGAAGGTGGCTTAATGGTAGAGTGCATGCTTTGCACGCATGAGGCCCTGGGTTCAATTCCTCAGCACCACACAAGCAGAAAAAGCCGGAAGTGGTATTGTGGCTCAAGTGGCAGAGTGCTAACCTTGAGCTGAAGAGCTGAGGGACAGCGCCCAGGCCCAGAGTTCAGGCCCCACTACCGGACCCAAAAAAAAAAAAAAAAGTAAGATCCTATGTAAAAAATAAACTACAATCAAGAGGGCATCCACTGGTGGCTCGTGTCTATAATCCTAGCTACTCAGGGGGCTGAGAGGATAACAATTTAAGGCCCATTCAGGCAGGACATTTTGCAATGTGCACCCTCAAGATTACCAGCAAAAGGCTGGTTGCTGGAGCTATGGCTTAAGTGATAGAGTGCCACCCTCGTAGGCATGAGACACTGAGCTCAAATCCCAATACCACATTAAATAAATGAATGAATGAATAAAATGAAAGCAAAAGCAGAAGCTGAGGGTGTGGTACAAGTGGTAGAGTACTTGCCTAGCATGCAGTGCAAGTCCTTAAGTTCAAAACCCCAGTAAAAAACAACAACCAAAAACCCACAGTAAAAGAGAGCACAACAAACACTGATCATATTCCTATCCCGTATTCTTGTACTGTTAGATATAATCACATTTTTAGCTGCCTGTTTTATGTTCAGAATGCAAAACTATTTACATTGCAGGCAATTTGGGACTGTAAACTGAAGTGCAATCATATATACATCCACAACAAGATGGATCCTTTTTGCTCTTCAATACACACATTGATGAAATGCATTTAAATGTGCACAGATTAAAAAGACTGCTTTATAACTGGTTTCCAACTGTGCTTGCTAGTGATTACATGAAGCAAAGAGGATTTAGACAACACATTTAAAAATGAAGCAGCAAAAAAAAAAAAAAAAAAAAAAAAGGAGCAGCCTTTGGAATAATGACGATAATGACGGGGTAGGCTCTTTGCATGTGGCAGGCTTGGTTTACACACATCATTACTAACCTTCAAAACATCCCTGGAGGAAAGTATCATTATCCTTATCTAAGAGATGAGGAAATTGAAACAATGAAAAGTTAGATCATTTTCAAAAGGTCATACGACTAGAATGTGTTTTAGCTGGCATAGAAAAGCTCCGCTGTCTCACTCAGAAATCTGCATTCTTTTCACTCTACCTATGATCTTGTCAAAAGAATGGGGAGAAAATGCGGGCAAGGGTAGAAGTTGTTGCTCTGGCCATGATTGTGATCAGGAATTCCTGAAACATCCCAGCCGCCCATGCCTCTGATGTGGGAGGCGACATGTGTTTGTGGGTTGGCAGATTCTGGCTACAAAACTGGCACAAGTCAAAACTGCTGCTGTCAAATATCATACAAGGCAGAGCCTCTGAAGGTTCAAATAAACTTAAATAGCTACGGCTAACACAATTTGAACTAATTAACCAGGCTCAGACAATGTAATGTATGGAGCATATCTATTAAAACCACAGGACTAAGAAAAATCAAACA